ACTAAAGCTCGTTAGACAAATTCAACCCAAAGAGGGGGCATGCTAACGGAACCATGAATCCCCAAAGACAAAGAACAGCCACAGCAGCCCAGAGGACTTAGAATTCAAACAAACCTTCACGGCTGTAAGTCGAGTTATCTCATTTCCCATTCTATCTACTAGCACTGGAAGGCAAGCAGGTAAATCCCCACTAAGTTGATCGCCAAATGAAGAAACAACAAGCCCCATGCAAGAAATGGCACATTCTTTAACCTCCTACAAAGGAAAACAATTAGCCAAATATGACGCCCAGAAAATAAATTCCACTGCAAATTAGGCACTAACCTGATCTTGATCTTGATTTGTCAAGCGTGCCATTATGGCATTATATATTGGTTGGACATACAATTTGAAATCAAAACCATAATCCTGAACGACAAAAACCAATTAACGTTTGGGAAGGAAACAGAAAACGTCAAAGAATCCATACGAAATGAAGAGGTTAAAAGCAATTGACCTCAATATTTGGTCGCAGAACGCGCACTAGTTCTCCACATACTCTCAATGCCTCTGCTGTAACTTTGTAATAGCGTTCACCAACAGCAGATATAACGGGAGCAGAAATGGCCTAAGAACACACCATTGTTAGAGAACCAACCCTCTTGCACAGCTTGCTAACTTATAGAAATGATAATTCACTAATATTACCTATCCAATAATGAAAGTAACCACACAATATAATACATTTCCTAGAAAACACAAAAGCCGAAGAATGCTTCTAACACTAGCAACAATGTTAGGGTTGCATGTCCAAATCATTACGCTCGGAATTCATATTTAAATACATACTTTGAAGTTTAAGCTTTTAAAAAAAAAAAAACCCTCAGATTAACAAGTCCCCAGAATAGCTATAATCATCATTCTAAGCACTCCAAGAAAACTTCATAACAGGATCTTGAATTGTACCAGATGAGCGGTAGCTTGGTTCATGCGAATACAGGGTATGGAGTAGGAGAAATCAAAAATTTAAGTAGGTGCTTGGGAAGGCTTTTTTGGAAGCTCTAAAGCACTTTTAGAAGACCAAAAGTAATTCGATATTCTTTCATTTGTGAAGGCGTGATATTATATTTTAGAAATGAAATTGAAGATAATATGAGAACTATAGTATTTCATAATCT